AAATGTTCGAAGCATTTCAAAGAAAATTTTACATACCGGGTCGAAACTATAACTTATTTATTAAAATGTATAAATCAATGATTTGAAAATTGAATAGGACATTGAGCCGAAAGAAGAGGAGGCTCCAGATTCAACAATTGAACCGAGTTGAACCAAGTTACATCATAAATATAAAAATAATAAATATAACTTAAATTACTTTATAATGCTTTTTATAAGGTAAAACAGATATATTATGAAATATAAATTATATATGAACTTAAATAACAATTTTAAATGATTGTTGAAAAGAAAACTAACAGTCAAGTATTATAATCTAAATAACATCTCTAAAAAAGAACTAAGAAAATAAACTGGATCAACAGTTGGATCGTCGGTTCTAGTCGATTCATTCTTGTTCAATGTGGGAGCGGTTTTTAGGCCACTCTGAATCGGACCGCCAACCGGACCTATTGGGTCGGTTTTTCTAAGCAACTTCATAAATGCTTGATCTCAATACTTTTATTATTCAAAAAGCCTAAAAAGGAATTGACAAACGAAAGAAACAGAAAAATAAAAGCCAATGAAGTTTAGTAGGAAATGACATTTCCACCATCAATTTTTTTTCAAAGTTTTCGAGAACGCACTAATTCAAGAAGATTTCCTTAAATTAAGAAATTTGACTTCGGTGGTAGGATTTGACTAAACAAGCTATGGGTCCACTATAGGTCAACAAGGGTTTGATCAATTTTTACTGTATATTAGATTTTCGTTATGCTCCTGAAGTTGTTAATAGTTCCTATAATCGATGGAGTTGGCCTATGTTATAAATCAACTGAGTTGACCAAGTCCGTCAAAATCTTATGAAAATTAGGCTGATATGGTCAAAAAAATGGAGATGACTTGCGCATACAGACTCGATTGACATGTGACACCAAACTGAATGAGCCTCAAGGTTCAAAATAATTCAATATCCACGCCAGAAGGCTTAAATTAAAAAGGCTGTGGTCAGCAACAAATCTTTCAAAATCATTTTAGTTATTTCTACTTTGGACCAAAAACTTGTTAGGCGTAATATTACATCATATGATTTTTTTAATCATGTTTAATTTTCGGATTAGCTTTGTGATCTTCATCAAGTATTGACCTGCTGGCTTCTAAAGACCGCTCCCACTTGTTAATTCTTTTAATTATCAATGTACAGTGCCTCCATTTGTAATTCCAGCTACTAATTCATAACCAGTAAGAAAGAACTGGAATAATAAGAGTGATAAAATGCCCCACAAAGAGCGTATGCGTACTTGTAACAACAACAAAACTTTTATCCCAGTAAGTGGGTCGGCTACATCAATCATTTTTCTCCATTGCGTCCTATTTAGTGTCATATTTTCATTTAGTTCTAATAAATTAAGATCATTTTAGTTCTGCCTTTATTAACAAAAGTGGAGAACATAAGTCGGGTATAAAACACCTACTCTTTTAATCGGAACATTAGATGGTCAGCGCTTAATGTGACCAAACCATCTAAGATGACTTCCTCAAATTTTATTCTGTGACCAAACCATCTAAGATGACTTTCTCAAATTTTATTCGCCATTGGATCATAGGAGCTACACCAACCGCCAACCGTATCACAGGTATATTCATTTTGCATTTTGTCTCTAAGTGTAAAGCCACTCATACACCTAAGCAGTCTCGTCTCAGCAACACTTAACTTAATATTATGCTTCTCTTTTAAAGGCCAACATTTAGCGTCATAAAGCATTCCAGGTCTCACCACTATATTATAAAATTTTCCATTCGGTCTAAGCAGCACTTTTCTATCACACAAAAAGCCCGAAGCATTCCTCCACTTCAACCAACCAACTTGAATTCTACCATTAACATCCCCATCTATATCACCATCGCTTTGAAGAACTGACACGAGATATCTAAATCGTTCACACCTTCTAATAATTTGATCACCCAAAGTTACACTTCTGTCACTAGAGCTACTACTAATAAAATTACATTCCATGTGATTAGTTTTAGTTCTACTCAAATGAAGGCCTTTAGACTCCAATGTAGACCTCCATAATTCAAGTTTTTCTTGAGCTATTTCACTCGTCTTATCCACGAGAAGGATATCATTAGCAAAAAACATTCGCCAAGGTACCTCCTCCTGTAAATGTCCAGTAAGACCATCCATAACTAAAGCAAAAATGATATGGGCTTAAAGCCGATCCCTGATACGAGAAGGAGATCATCAGCAAAAAGCATACGCCAAGGTATAAATGTCCACCAAGACCATCCATAACTAAATAAAAAAAAGATATGGGCTAAAAGCTAATCCCTGATGTAATCCAACAGAAATAGGAAAATATTTGGTCAATCATCCTTCTGTTCGAACATAAGTAACAACTTTAGAATACATATCTTTAATGACTTGAATATAAGTCGTATCAACGACTTTTTTCTCAAGAGCTCTCCAAAGGATATCTTTTAGAACCTTATCATAAGCTTTTTCTAAATCAATAAAAATCAAATATAGATTCTTTGTATTGTCTCTAAACTTCTCCATCAAGTTTCTCAATAAATGTATAGCTTCCATAGCAGATCTGGCCGACATAAATCCAAATTGATTATGAGAAATCTTTATAATACGTTTTAACCTGTGTTCAATTACCCTCCTCCATAATTTTAAAGAATGACACATCAACTTAGCTCCTCTATAATTTGCACGCTCTTGTGCACCCCCTTTATTCTTAAAAATGGGGACCATAATACTCTTCCACCACTTCTTAGGAATCTTTTTAGTTTTTAAAATAATATTAAAGAGTTTAGTAAGCCAAGAAAGTCCCTAATCTCCTAAACATTTTCATACTTCAATTGTGATATCATCAGGTCCAACAGTCTTTCCACCCTTGGTATTCTCTAAAGCCTCCTCAACTTCTTTTTTACTAATGTGACGGTAAAAATGAAATTTTTTATTCAGATCACTAAGGTCGATCATATTTTCAGAAAGTTCGTTAAAAAGTATATCAAAATAACTCACTCACCTATGTTGAATGTCTTTTTCTAAGAAAAGTAATTTTTTATTTTCATCTTTAATACTCTTTACTTGAGTTAAATCTTTACTTTTCTTTTCTCTTTGTTTGGCTAGTTGACATATATATTTTTCACCATTTTTATTATCTACTATAATATAAAGATCATTAAAAGCAAAATTTTTAGTGTCACTTATGGTTCTTTTAGACTCCCTGCGGGCCGTATGATATTTTTCCCAATTCTCTAAGCTCTTACATTTTAACCAATTTTTATAACATAACTTCCTCTATTTTAGCATTTCTTACACATTAATATTCCATTACCAACTATTTTTATTTAAAAAATTTTTTTCTTTTGATTCTCCAAGTACACCTTTTGCTACTTGATTAATAATGTATGTTACGATTCTCCAAGTACATCTTTTGCTACTTGATTAATAATGTATGTTATTTTATACCACATAACATTTGCTTCTTCATGAACATCCTAAATTTTGAAATCTTTAATTTTACACATAAAAAAAATTTTATTTGTGTCTTTTAAGTTTCCTCATCTAATTCTAAGAAGACGAGTCCTGATATTCTTTCGTCCTAGTATTCTTTATTTTACAACTCTTCATCTAAAAATTTAGAACTAATAAACGACGTTGGGTACTTAAATCCTCACTTGGAATGACCTTACAATCTTTACAATCTCGACAATCTCTTCTTCTCATAAGAAAATAATCATTTTGTGTTTCATTAGATCCATTCTTATAAGTAATAAGAAGCTCATCTTTCTTCTTGAATAAAGTATTAGTAATAACAAAATCATATGTTAAAGCAAAATCTAAAATAACTCTACCTTCTTCATTAGTCACTCCAAAGTCGTAGCCACCATGAATATTTCTAAAACCTTCTACCACTCTACCGACATGTCCATTTAAATCTCCTCCAATAAAAATTCTTTCTTCAAGAGATATCATTTGTATGAAGTCTTTTAAGTCATTTCAAAATTTATCTTTAGATCCTATATCTAAACCTACTTGAGGAGTATAAGCATTTATAATATTAAAAATCATTGTATCAATCATAACCTTAAGGGCTATAATTCTATCTCCAACTCTATTAATTTTTACAACATTATCTTTCAAACTCTTATCTATAATTAGACCTGCACTATTTCTAGTGCGACTCTTACCAAAATACCAAAGTTTAAAGCCTAAGTTACCAATCTCCTTAGCATTTTCTCCAACCCATTAAGTTTCTTGAATACATAAGATGTTAATCTTTCTATGAATCATAATATCAACTAATTTCATTAATTTACTATTGAGAGTAACTATATTCCAAGATCCTATCATAGTATTAATTTCATTAGTTTAATCCAAGATCCTATCATAATATTAATTTTATTAGTTTAGTTTAATTGGACTAACTTCTTTACTCGCATCCGTTCGTAATGTGAGAACCTTAGCTTATTTGACACTATACCTGAGCGTCGGTGTAGCAGACATTGCATATTTTTCAATGTATTCAGGCTATACAGCATGTCACTTCCAAGAAAAACTCTAACACTTACACAAAGATCAAAAGAATTCATGTCATAATTTTTTTGCGACATGTTTTACGCTCGCTGTCGACTACCAAATGCAACCCTCAACTTTTCACATTCAGACTTGGAACCGAGAATGACAATGTTTAAACCTAAAAATTTCTGCAGAACATTTGAATTTATTTATTTTTTTTTCAGCATATGCTCGGTTCTTAATTTTGCTTAGTACAACGGAGACATTTTATTTTCTTAAATTGAAAGACCAATTAAAATCAGAGATGTAAGAGCTCAACAATAAATTTTCGAGGAAATAAAAACATCGGTAAACCACTTATATTTAACGAGCCAAGCAAGGTTTCCTAGATGTAAACGCAACAAAACAATTTTACATGGAAAAAAACTAATTGAGAACGGATTGGCTTTTGAGGGCCACTGTACAAAAACAAAGCATGGCAGCCTAGCTAGCTTGAATCGTAGAAAGGATAAAGCTCATATCGAATATTACAACTTCCACCAAACACGCTTCCTCCTCTCCCACCATGAGAGCCTCTTGGAAGCTCGGCGAGGGCAGCATTTAAGCATCTCCTGCAATCCCCACCAGACAAATCCCTGGTACACTGCACCAATCCAAATAAGCTCCCCACCGTGCCAAGCTCAATCTCTCCAGTAGCAAACAGCAATGGTGTGAGATAAGCTCTCTTTACTAACCTCTCCATCAGTTCTTCAACCTTAGCGTCCAAAACTGGTATCTGCGACACATTTGTGCTATCCGCCACATAAAATTTTCTTATGTCATCGATTTCTCCAAAAAATTCGCGGTCGGCATAGCGAACAAGACAATGTTCAAGCCATACCGTTGCTTCCTTCTCGAACGGGCAGTGATGAAGGATATGATCATTGGCTTCATGGATGCAGGCTGTACAAGCAGAGCTTGTTATATCTCCCCTGCACATAGCAAGACCGAAAGCCTGACCGTCTCCGTGGCCAATTGACCTTAGACCGAAACCGATAGTTGGAGCTTCTTGGAGAAGCAGATGCATTAGCTTGCTCAAGCTGGCCATAAATGGAAAATCAGAGCTGTGGGTTTTTGAGCTTGAACATGAGCTAATTAGAGGAGAATGAGTGGCGGAAGAAAAATGGAGGTTTAGAAGGAGAAGTATTATTGCAAGTAATTTCTTCATGTTTTGGGAAGAAGGCTTGAAGATGCTCATTTGGGAAGGAAGAGTGCTATAAATAAGGGCCTGTGGAGTCTCTCTTTGGTGGATGATTTGGCTGGGGAAGAAAACTTCTACGGGAAAAATAGTTTTTTTTTTTTTACAGGCTGAGCTCTATTAAAACCAATAAATTAGTCGGAAGATGTTATTCAGCGAGAAGAGATGTGGAAGTTTAATAATTCTTTTTGGAAATAGTAGTCCGGCCTTAATGTCTGTATCAACCTTCTGAATTTGAAAATACGAACCTGATCTTTTGTTGACTTGTTCTGCCTTTTGTAGCCTATAAGTAAAGAACGTCCCTTTAGCAAATATATTTTTTGTTGAACTTTTCTAGGGGATTATTACTCGTATAACCATGAAATGAAATTCATTAATGAGTTTTGAATTTATGGTCAAACCCTGAAATCCATTTGTTTGGATATTTCATTGGTCCAAAGAGGCAACTCTTAGAATTGTAATGGATAAATTTGGCATTATATGCATTCTAATGATAAAAAATTGGAGAAATATGATGGTTGTTTGTTTTTCTTGGAAAATATGCCAAAAAGTTTATTTTGGAATATCACTGTTTTTATCTTCGGAGTATTCTCTGAAGTCCAGCGCAGCTCACAATGGTTCAAACAACAATCAAATCAGATTCTAACATGGTTCCTTCAATTCTCAAACTTCGCACAAACTTGGTAGATTCATGTTTGAGCAAATTCTGGAAATTTTTAGTGCCTTATTTTAGATGGATTTAAACATGGTTAGAATATTATTTGAATATGGATCAAATAAACTTCAAACATGAGTTGAACATATTTTGAGCATTACTGAACATGATTCAAGCAATGTTTAAATATAATTCGAATATGAAATCTAGCATAACAAACTACAAGGTCGATACAACTGAATTAGTGAAATACATAAATGTTTTACTATCAACAGATTTATAAGATATATAATATAACAACCATAACATATTAATGTATATTTTCAGAATATGGACGGTATAGAAGATGATGATTGGCGGTATTATTGGCGAAATTAAAGGCAAAAATGGAAGTTAAAATTCCGAATAATGCAGAATGAAGTGGAATTCTTTATTATTTCATTGTTATGAAAGAAGGTATAAATAACCCTTAAAAGAATGCTATAATAAGAAAAGTAATAAAAAGGAAATGTATGAAAGTAACGATATATCACCTGATATTTCCAATAATTAATTTATATTAATTATTATGAGATATAAGAAATAACATAAAATAGGAAAATAAATAACTTCTAATCCAAGGAAATAAATATAAAATAGAAAAGGAAAATATCTCCTTATATTAAGGAAATAATTTATTCCTTATAACTTCTTATGATAATAAATTATTTCCTATTATAATTCTTAACACTCCCCCTCAAGTTTGGAATTTATGTTATAAATTCCTAACTTAATCAGTAGTGAAGAAAAATTAGTCGTTTGGATTATCGAATTTGCTAGATTCAGGCTTTACTAAATTTTGAGTTTTGTCAGCCATATGTTTTGGTATAAAAGAGAGATTCAGACTTGACTGAATTTGCTGGATTTAGACATTGCTGAAGTTTGAATTTTTTCTGTTATATGTTTCGGTGTAGAAGAGAGATTCAAGCTTGACTGAATTTGCTGGATTCGGGGCTCTCCCTGACGCTTGAGCTAGGGAAGAAAAAAATACTACAGGAGAAAGAGCTGGCGATGAATTTTGCCCACATTGTTCAATCGACGACAACGATATCTCCGGCGAGATGACGATGAGGATAATATTAGACTAAGCTAAACAACATCATTAGACACTCCATCATATTCAAAAGTAGAACATATTTCAAGAAAACTAACAAGATATAATTAGGATTCTTTAGTAGGTGTTCCTCCAAACTGTTCCTCCAAACTGATTATTTTGCATCATTTGAATAAGAGCAGGTTTAACCTCAAATGAATTAATAAAAACATCAAGATTCTGAATAGTTAACTGAAGTTCATCTGTTGTGGGATGAGCATAATCTCCTAAAGGTTTTGGTCGATTTTCATTTATTTGATTATCTAAGCTATTCGTCATTTTGTTCAAAATTTTAATTTCTTTTTGTTGTTTTCAAAATTTTTTATTAGTACATTCTAATTCTGAATCGTAATGTACTAAACATTCAGATCCAATAATTCGCATAAAAAATATAATAAGTAAAGAAAATTTCTTAAAAATACTCTTTAAACAGATAATCATATATATTTTGGATTTTTTATTATTATATATATATATATATAATATCTCTAAATTTCCTTATTTACCAAATCTATTTAATTTACCATTACCTTCCCGTGCAACGGCGCCAAAATATTGATCCCGAAAATTATTGTTGTGTAAAATTTATAAAGTTGACTCCGCTTTATAACCAAAATCTTGATGTTGTACTTTATGAATAATAACGTTAAACACTTAATGTTGGGATTCTACGCAAGTATACGTATCGTTATTAAGTAATATAAGATTTTCTATTTAAGAGCTAAATATCAATCCCACGAGGAAGGTTTCCCACGGGGAAGGTTTAAACTTAAAATGATAACTTAACTAAGAAATTCACAGAAATAAAATAAAATTACTATCACTAATTTTGAATGTCTAAGATAATATTAAAGCTAAATTATTAGCTACTAGAAGAATTTAAATGCAAAGTTTAAAACAGTAACTACTATAGTATGTTTATGTGATTAAGTTTTCTAATATGAAAAACATCTTTCGCACTACAATGAGTATTTGGTGAAATGAGATGAAATAAATGGTTTAAATTTATATTGTGCCAAATAGTAGCAATCTTAATTCTCTACCCGTATTCAGTGTTATAGAAAATTATTGGCTAATCTGAGGTTTAGCCTCTAAATCTGTGGCTAGGCTAGAAGGGTACTAATTCCCACTTTAGAGTTCCCACTTCTCTTCCCCTCAAGGCTAAATCTAGCTTTAGTTCTTAAAAACTTAGATAAAAATGAGGATTTTAGTCTGTCACCCAATAAATCTCTAATTCTATAGCCAACAATGTGTATTTTCCTTTTTAATTTCCTATTTAATTGCACTTAATTCTATGAACGAAATACTTCTTCATGGACTTAAATTGATTCTCACTTAGTTGTAGAACTCATACTCCATTTCCTGGATCATATGTTTTACAACATATTTTAACACATATTTTAACAAGTCAATTGAAGTCAATTGACCAGATCAAAAAATAAATTAAGAGCAGAGTTGAAAAAACATCAAATTTATTTTATATTTTAACATTGGCACATCCATATTATCTCCTCATTTCACCACATCTCAGAGTAGGGAGAAAGATAAAGGAAACTACAGACTTCATGAGAAAGATACAACAAAACACAAATTTCATATATAAAAGAAAGTTCATACAATAATGATAAACAAACAACACTTATCTGAAACTCTTTCTCAAAGAAAATCCTTTGTAGCCTCTCTTAGAAAATGTAGGAAGAAGAAATCTCTCACTTCTCTCCCTCTCCAAGACTCTTAGAAAAGAATGCAAACTTAAACTCAGCACAAGAACTCAAAACTATAAAGAAAATAAATGACTAATGGTGTGGAATGGCATGGAAGGATGCAAAGTGGCATGAATGGGGGTGAAGAGATGCGAAGAAAAACCAAGACAACGGAGGAGGAAAGTCCTTTTCTAATCAATTTAGATTCTAAATAGAGCCTAAGGTTGGTTTTCTAATAGGTGCATCAAAAAACTCTTCAAAAAACGTCCAAATTTGTCGAATATTCTAAAAACAGGGTCTGCACTGACACTGACATCGTCGGCGCCCAATATGACACCATCGACGCTAGTGGCGATTTAATTAATACAACACTTTTTTTCAAACGATGCCATCAGTGCTGAACAATTCTTCAAAAATTCCATTTTGACTCCAAACTTTATCCTTTTTTCTTCCTTTTTGCTCCAAGTCCTAAAAATCAACAATCCTCAATAAAACATGAAAAATACCTTCCTTTAAAGTGAAATATCACCAAAAATGAGTATAAAATATGGGTCTAAAAATGCATATATTATTGTTGTATCTTATCTAAAATCTTAAAACTTTTCTGAACATAATTTTAATCCTTGGTGATTATCTCAATAGATTTACCTTTAATATCAGTATCATTTTCAAACTCTAGTTCTGCTTGTCTTGTTTTAACTTCACAATTTTCACTGAAATGGTTTTCAATTAAATAATTAATAATCTCTATTCTATAACATTTATCTTCTCTTCCTTTCAATGGATACTTTATTGACTTTAGCACATTAAAAGTAACTTCATCATCATTAGCTCTCATAGTTTGTTCTTCTTTTTGTAGATCAATCATAGCTCGAGCAATGGCAAGGAAGGGTTTCCCTAAAATTATTGGTATTTCCTTATCTTCCTACATATCTAAAAAAAGGAAATCCACATAGAAGATAAATTTATCAACTTTAACCTGCACTCCTTCTATTGCCCCTAAGCATATGTGATTGATTGATCAGCTAATCAAAGGGTTACAGTAGTGGGAGAAATCTCTCCTAAGTCTAACCTTCTGAATATTAACAGGGCATGAGGTTAATGTTATCTCCTAAATCACATAAAGCTTTTCCACAAATTATTTCTCCTTTCGCACATGGAATAGTGAAGCTACCAGAATCTTTAAATTTTTTATGAAGCTCTATTTTGGCATTGCATTCTTCAGTTCAACAAACAAGCTTTTCTTAATTAATATATCTTTCATAAAATTAACATAAATTAGCATTCGCTCTAGTGCTTCAGCAAAAGGAATATTGAATGTTAGCTTCTTAAAAATTTTTAGAAACTTAGGAAATTATTGATGCATTCTCTTCTGTCTAAGTTTCTGAGGAAATGGAGGTGGCGGTTTTTCTAAATTTATCTTAGTTGGAGAGATAGGTTTTTCTATATTTTCTGGAACATTTT